TTGAGTAAAAATGTGTCTGTAGGTAGGTTATATGATTGACAAATTTACTTTCAGGTTGTTAAATTATTACAAAATATTTTAAAATAATTTTGAAAAGGAGCATTGTTGGGTCTTATGGGGTTGAGAACCACAATCTTAGATAACTGCTCCCTTACTGTCACTCTTGTTATTTTTGAGCGAAGGCTCCCCACCCCTAAACTGAAGACTTAGCGTGAAGGCACACACTTAAGCAACTCTCACCAGCTCTCTGCTCCCCCTCCATGTGCACCCAGGATAAATCCAGTCCAACTCTGCCCTCTCCCCACCCTGCCTGCTCCCAGTTTCCCGGGGAGCCTCTAGCCCTACAAATTCAGGCCCCAGAGGGTGGAATTCAATTGAGTGTGCACACAGAGCTGGGCCAGGGGTACCCACAGGTGGGGTAGGTGCCCCGCCTCGCCTGCCTGCTGCCTGATCCAGGAAGTCTGATGTGCTCCAAGGATGGGAGTTGCTGTCCACCCCACCCCATCCTCCGGCCCTCTTAGCCCCGGGATCCTGCATTGCAGTGTGGGTCTTGACTCCAGCCCCTTCCCCCCATAGAAACACAGCCTGGGCTCTTTCTGTCAAGTTTGTCTTTGCCACAAAATGATTGTTGCAAGAAAAAAATGGACAAAGTCACAAAAGAGAAATCATGTCTACTCCTATTATCTGGATAAAGTTCCTGCTAATATTTTGGGTTTTTCCCTCGGAAATCGTACCTCTGTATTTTATTTTTTAACAACCCATCTTCACATGCAGTTTTGTAACCTGCTTTTCCCGCTCCCACCCCCACTATTTATCTTGAACATCTTTCCAGGTCATTAAATATTCTTCTACCAAGAAATGTCAATGGCTGCCCAGTATGCCATAAATAAACCATGATTTATTTAACCAGTCTATTGATTGCTGGACATTTCGTACCTCATTCTTGACCTTGTTTGACTCCTGGCTCTCTACGTAATAGCTGTGTGATATCAGGAAAGTCACCTCCTGCTTCTGAGCCTCACTTTGCTTTATCTATCCATTGAGTTGTCTAATGCCCCGGTGCCCTTGGGCATTGCTCTGAAGATCCCAGAGTGGCGTGTGACGCAGAGCTTGGCACCGTGCCCGGGACACATCCCCTAAAGCATTTTCTCAATGTGCATCTTCATCTCTTTCTCTGCTGCCCCTTTTCCTCTTGCTCAGAGGCTCCCTATTCATATTACCCACCCTGAAAGATGGCCCCAGGGTCTTCCTGTGACTGTCACTCTCAGTGTGCAAGTCTGCCTCCCACTGGCCAGACTCCCATCTGTACCCAGCTGCAGGGAAGAGAGCTTATAGAGGACCCTGGACTGGACACTGGCACCTGGTGGGGTC